AATTATTAAAGTCGTTGAGTATCTTGACCTCTAATAAAATTAAATAAAATACGGGGTCCAACAATCAAGATCGTGCAAATGAATGTGTACATTTATTTTTATTAAAAATTTTTTTTTTTTCATATTTTTTCTTAAGTTTTACCGTTGTTACCCATACCATGTCTTATTCACCTTACCAACGAAACATTTTGTTAATCCTTTTTATATTTTGTTATATATGTATACTTTTAATATCCTTTCCCCAGCTTCTTGAGTATTATACATATAAGTATACATATATATTTTTGGTTATTCAATAAAAACATACCTTATGGGGTCAAATGTAAAATAAAGTTGACAATTTTTTTTTTTTAAACCAACCCGTACCGGTACGGTACAAACAATATAGAAGTATAGAAGAAAAGGGTATTATAATATATAAAAGACAACAAATTTTATGTAGTATAAGAGAATATGTATAAGTATAAAAAGTTGCTTACCAAAAATAATAATAATAAAAAAGAAAAGAATTTAAAAGGGTTAGGCTTCATCATAAAAAAAAGAGAGCAAAATAAAAACAAAGACTCGTATTTTTTTTTCTGTTCAAAGAAAAAGTAATGTTAAAAAAACTGTTATATAAGTACAATCCTTTTTTTTCTATTATTATGTGAAATATACGTTATCCAAACAAAATCCTTTTGCTTTTATACTCAATTGCATACTGGTATATATCTATGTGTATATGTTTATGTATGCGATTATTTAATAAGCATACCTTCGTATTTATTTTTATTTTTTTTTTATATGATAAATATGGATGATTCTGCAATATATATGTATGCACAAATGAATGTTGAATAGATTTTTGGGAATTCTTAGAAGTAGTCAAAAAATTTTTTGGATTATAGAATAAAATAAGCCCTATAAGTATGATGAGTAATTGTTATCGGGAAAAATGCAATACTACAAAAACATAACATGATGAGTATGCAATAACAATGGCTGGAATTAGAAAGTAAACAATGCGACAATATTGTAGTAGTTTTACTAGTCACGTAATCAAAAAGTAATCACAAAATTAGGTTAATTAAAAATCAGATTGTATCATTCACCATTTTAAACCAAATCGACAACAATATTTAATTTATAAAAAAGATGTCGTAAAATTCAACACTACACTACCGCAATATGTTAGCAACACTACCTGTTACAGAAACACCGCAGCAACACGCAGTGCTACATTTTGTGTTTTGTTTTGGATGTCACTCAATTTTATTTTATATCGCTGATAATGTAACAATGTTTATAAGCAAACTAAATGAGCAATATTTGTTTACGAACATAAATATAGCGCAGTTTCAACTCTATGTAAAGGCCTTTTGCAATTGCATATAATCTACAGCGTTTCAAAAGTTCAATTAAAATTTAATTTAAAAATTTTTTAATTAGTTTACTAGTAATTTAATTATTGACTAAAACTGATTAAAAATCAAGATTAACGGGATTTTGACAAAATTTTTATAGTATATTTATAATAACCCTGTATCCAGATTATATTATAATAATTATATATATACTTGCATTATATATTCGAATATGTATATATAATATTTTGTATTGTATATTTAATATTTATATAACTAAAATAATAAAAATTACCTTAAAGGTATATGACGTATAGGCGAAAATACTTATTTTGTGTTTCGATTTGAACCGAAAAGTTCACATTATATAATATTAGAATGGTAAGATAAGAAAAAACCAAAAATAAGAAGAAAAATTTAGAATAAAACGAAAACGAAAAAAAAAATAAAGAAACTTAACTCTTCCATATATACAAAAGAAAATTAGAGGGTCCTTAGAAATTACATACGATTTTATTTGTATGCAGAGTACAATATAAGTTTGAGTGTATACCGGAAGAATTGTAAACCCAAAAAAAAAAAAAAAAATTGGTGTATTCTCATATATTTACATACATATATATCGATTATGTGTAGTGGTTATTATTTTTATTTTTTTTTTCATTTTCTTTGTTGTTATGTCCTTTTTTTTCACATATTTAGTAAAGATATTTAGATAATGAGTCCTGTTTTTCCTTTCAGTTCCTCTTTTTTAGGTATTTTGTTTTCTTTGTTACTGCTTTGAAGAGGATGTAATGAAATAGAGGATAATAAAATATACAAAAAGTCCATTTTTTTTTTATCTCATCCTATGTAATTTTTGTTTTTATTATTATTTTTTTTAAAGTTATTTTCTATTGAATTTATTTTAGTTTTTTTCCCCTCTTCCTTTCTATAATATTCAATTTTGTAATTGTTTAATTTTTCAATTTTTTTTTTTTTTCTGCAAATATTGGTATTTCTTTAGGGAGAATAGATAAATCATTTTAACTTTAGGCAATGTTATTGAAAAAACTTAACTAACAAAAGGGATATTAAATAGTTTTTTTTTTTTTGTAAAAGGATGTTGAAAATAATTATTTGGGAGGTGTAGAATAGTCGTAACTGAAAGCATTTACAAATTTATAAAAGAGAGAGAAATCATTCTCATTATTTAATATGAAATAATAAGAAAGATTTGGGAAAAATAGTAAAAATTAATTACTGAAATTTTCCAACTTTTAACAAATATTTTTTTTTTAGATTAAAAGAAGATATTAGAGTTTAATTACTTTTGATAATATTATTAATAGTAATTAGAAATTTATTTTTAATAAAATTTATTATGAAAATTATTGTCAATAAATTGCAAAAGGTTAAGTCAATGATTATTAATAAAATTGTGAGCTTGCAAGGCCGCATATATAAAAATTAATTTTTTTTTGTTTGAAAACAATGAATGGATTTTTAAATAGAGATTCAATTTCCTTTTAACAATATTTAATTTAATTATTTTTAATTTTGCTAATGATATAATTTCATTAAATTTTTAATAAAATTATCATTTCATTAAAAATTACAGCTATTATTAGGATTCGATATAAAGCATATTGAATTTGTATAATAGATTTTGTAAGATTTTGTATATAATAGATTTGAACTATAAATATTTTTCCTTTACTACTATACGGAATGCTTTCTGAATTATAGTTTTCAAGAGAGGAATATTTAGACAATGTCAACAACAACAAAAAAAAAATAAATTTCAAAATTTTAAATTTAAAAATATAAGTTAAATTTTTAATAAAATTATTAAATATACGGTTGATATTAAATATTTTCATTAATAATTTCATATTTTTAAAATATTTTAGGGAAAACAGAGTTGTTCTCTTGAGAATTCTTTAATATTCAAATGATCTTAGTTAATGACACTATTGTCACCCGTAAAAATTATTGAAAAAATTGATTAAGTAATTATAATTTTCAAAATAATAATAAAGATAATTATTGATTTAAATTTTATATAGAATTGTATATAACTTTTAATTAATTCTGCCCATATAAACTCTAATAGGGGAATGAGATGAATGCTTTTAAAAAAGGATACCTATAAATTTTTTTTTTAAATTGTTTTCCGTCAATTTCGATTTTAAAAAAGGATTCAATTTTTTTTCTCATTGTTGTTAGGAATCCTTTTATGTCTGTTTTTTTTTTTTAATGTTTATATGCAAATTTTAATGTATTGTTATGAAAAGGTTATGATAATAGAGTCATAACATTATAAATAGGATTTAAGGATGATATAGAAGAGAACAAATAAATTTTTTTTTCGTATATTTTATATATTTTTTTAAATAGAAAAATTATTATAAGAAAACAATACATTTATATTGTAAAACATACGTTTAACACATGAAAGTGGGCCGTATACTATATAAAATAGTAAATTTAAATAATAAAGAATGGTGTACGTAAAACGATCCCAGGTGTATTTTTTTTTTTAAATTACAATACAAGTATTGTGTAGATTTTTAAAAATTTTGAATTATAAAATTTTTAATACCTACTTGTTTTTTAAAAAAATAAATGAAAAAATTTAAGGTACTTTTGTTATTTAAGTACATACAATATTTTTTTAATAGGGTTGAATTGAATCGCTGTACTGAATAAATGCGTGTATATAAAAATATATATAGCTATTAATATATACATATATATGTATGTATATAGGTTTTTTGTTGAAAAGATTAAGTTATTACAGCATAAAAAGGAGATTATACGGCTAATAAGCAGTTTTTTTTTCTTTACTTTTTATGCTTCCCTTTTTTTTCTGTTACTCTTATAATGAAATAATTACGTGTATTAAATTGAAATGTTTAACTCCATATATACATTTGTAATATATATACATAACATACATTCAGTATTAAATAATATTAAAAAGGGATATACCCATACATATATACATTTTAAATGGTTAAATCCTTTTGCCATATATTTGACGAAAAAAATATCATGTATATAAAAAAATGTTTGGACATTAAGTTTGGTTCATCTGTGCGTATAGATAAAATAATGCATGATGTAACATTGTCAATGAAAAGAATTATATACGATTAACAAGTACATATTATAGAATTAAAAAGAATAAAAGAACAAAGGAAACATATAAGTAATAATGATTAAATTTAAAGGATAATGGACCAGTAATACAGGAACAATACCGAAAAAAAAAATATATCACAAGAATCACGAATTCATTTTCCTAAATAATAAAGTTTATAATATTTTTAATTCATGATTTTGTATAAAATATAACAGAAAGCAATAAAATTTATAAAAATAAACAAAATTTCAATATTAACTATTAATTTCGAATTAATTTAAAATTCATGGTATTATTGCCCTTCTGCTCTATAGTCTAAATGACTCGCAATTATAATTTATTTTATTTATTATAAAAAACACCACTCATTTCTGCTATTCAGAATATAATTGTTTTTTGTTTAATTCTGTTTTAGAAATTACATAATAATATTTTCTGAAAAATAATATTTTTCATTATAATCAATAAACATAACACAATTTTTTCCCTGAAATCTTCAAAATATAGATAGGGGAAAAAAAATTACTTACCTTGCTGCAAGGTCTCGATGTACAAAATTCATTTGTTCTAGATGTTTCATTCCTGAAGCTATTTGTGTTGCTATGTAAACTAAACACCCGTAACTTTAATAAAAAATAAAAAAAGATTTTTTTTTAGAAAAAAAATATTATAGAAGAAGATAAATAAAAACAATTTAAGATGAAAATTTTAATTTTCTTTTGCAAAATAATTGTAACATTGAATTGAAAATATTATTAAAGAAAAATAATATGAAAGATGAAGGACTACTAAGCATTTCAAAAGCAAAAACCAAAAAAAAAAATTTCTTTTGCTTCATTGTCTCATATCCAAAAATTACTTTTTGATTTTTTCATAATTTTAAAAAACTTTTCTATATCAAATACAGTCTTATACAATTATATTCATTATAGTACTAATTACCTTAAAGTTTTACTTTGTGCTCCTATTGGGCCAGTCTCAGCGATATGCTCTAATAAGAATTGATTTAAATCACCTTGGCAATTTGAATAATCTAAAACAATACATATTGGTTCATCTCTTAGACAACAACCTAACATTTTTGATACATTTGGATCATTAAGACGAGCTAATTGTTTTGCTTTTGAACGAAATTCTTTTCGCATTAAATCTGGTGCACCAGGACGTAATGTTGCAACAGCAACAAGATTTGAGCTAAAATTAGAAAGAAAAAAAAAGTGAATTAAAAGTGTAAGAATATAAAAATTTTGATTTATATTATAGAATTATACGTAATATGTACATATGCGTGTAATATTGATTAGTTATTTTTCCAATTTCATGAAAATGCAACAAATTTTGCAATATTTTTTAAGAATTCTCAATTACTGATTCCATTTAAAATAGAATACTGACAATTAGTTTTAAAAATTATTCTATCTACACAAATTTAAGTAGGTATGCAGTATTTAAAGTATTTCTTAAAGTATACATTATTTTCAAAAATTTAAAAATAAAATGCAGCTTTTAGTTTTAATGTCTTTTACAAATTGGGAGCTTCAACTTATAGCTAATTAAAATTCAAATCAATCAACACTTTTCTAGTTTTAGCTGTGTTATGTAAATAAAATTTTTCCAAAATTTGTTGCTTTTTCCCCTGAATATTTCTCCTAAATGTATGCAATAATATTCGCTGTAAATAAATATATGTGTAAACTTTCTTTTTAATTACCATTTCCATTTGTGAAAGTTAAAAAAACCCTGTTTTTTTTTAAAATTACCGAAGTAAAATGTGATATACTTAAAACCAATTGATTTAACCAACCATATTTTGTTTTAAATGCCTACATACATTAATTTGTATTTATGTAAACACTCATGTAAAAATTAAAAACATTTTTCTTTTTTAGAATTGCTGTATACATATAATTGATCTTTACATTTACAATTATAACCTATCTAGAATTTTCTTTCAAAAGAACTCTTTTATTGTTATCTACAACATCTGCACTTTTATAGATGAAAATTTTTTGGTAAATTTAATTTAAAACACTATGCAATTTTTAATTGTGAACCTATATGTATATATAATATTATGTTCATAATATTTGTACATATTCGAATTTTGTGCCATAACACAAATATGTACACATGTATAATGCTCTGTATATTATTATATTAGGAATCTAGCATTTTATTCTTTAAAATAGTTTAAATTTAAATTGAGTATTGTATAATTTACAACAAAAAAAAAAAACTGAATATTAGGAAAAGTTCATTCTATAACGCTTTTGCTGAATAATAAAAGTATTAAATTTTTTTAGGATACATGTACATAACACTATATCAGTATGTATATGGTTAGAGTTGAATATTGTGCATATTATGCATTTTAAGTTTTTGAGACCAAAAAATATATTGAATTTAAAATTATAACAAATAATGTAAAAATACAATTAGATAAAAAATCTGTATAAAAGAATAAATTAAATGAAATAGAACACAAGTTTTTTATTATTATTATTTCTGAATAGTAGAAAAATTAAATCTCTAATTGAATAAAGGAAATTTGAGGTTTTAAATATTTCGCATACCTATACTCAATATTATTTATCCTATAATATACAAGTATTAGAATTCTCTTCTAAAATCATGCTATGTACATCATATAAGATTATATTCATATTATACATAAAAATGAAAAAAGAGAGCAAAATTGAATTGTAATCAACTGAATTTATGAACAATAAATAATTTAAAGGATATATGTAATAAATTTTGGAAATAAACAATTTTTTTACACATAATATATATGATTGTATTTGTGTAATTATACTTACACACATATAGGTATAATGATATAGATTTTAAATTAAAAGGATTATAATTGTATGTAAAACATATTGTATTCAAAATGTTTTAGTTTTTTACCTTAATATATAAATGAATAAAAAAATACTTATATAATAGATATGTGAGTATATTAAATAAAATATAACATGTATGTATAATAAAATTATGGAAGTGGAAATTTTTGGTATCCGATCAATTTTTAGTATCTTATATTGTTGATTATATTTAATTTATGTATATATATAAATTTATATGCTTAAATAATCGTGTAATAGTGATTAAAAGTATCCTTGAATTATTTTCCAATAATATAATTATAAAAGTTTTAATTTATATTTAAATACAAATTGTATACGTTTCTTTTACAAATTGTATGAGATTCTTTGCTGTACTATAGTGTATGCTAAGTTAATATTGAATAAAATCAAGTATTTCTATTGAATTTTGAAATGGAGTTTTGATAAGAATTGAAAATTTTTATTTAATTATATATTGTGGTAAAAACTTTTAACATCGTGAAGAATTTTTACTAATATAGTTCTAAAATACTTTTAACAATTTGAAAATAAATTTTCTATTTTGTGACGCCATGTTTTTTTCAATTTTATTCAAATATGCGTTATAAGATACTGAATTATTTTGGTATTAAAAAAATTATTAAATTCTTTTTCGCAATATTATAAAAAATTTTAAATATTAAAGTAAATTTAACAAATTCAATTTAATTTTTTTTTCAATAATCAATTCTCGTCATTTATTATATTTAAATTTCTTTCTGTAATTTATTCTTAAAATTCTATATTTTATCTATAATTCTAAATTCAAATATTCTTAAATAGACTGTATATAAAATGTTGAATTATAAACAAGAAATCTTTTCAATTTTGGATTTTTTTTTAAATAAATATAATATATTTAAATTCTAAAATTCTTTCGGAAGCTAACAAAAAAAAATTTATTTTAAAATAAGTAAGAATTGATTTATTGTTAACAATATAAATATATCAGATTTTAAGAATCTTAAATGTATTATTATAAACAATATTCTATATAAAATGTAATATTTATGGACATTCAACCTATATTTATATGAATTCATGTATGTAGAATATGGTTTGTTTAAAAAAATATATAACTCCTACATCATAACATATAAAAAGATCACCTTATTTGCTACAATAACAAAATTTTGTTTTTAAAATAAATAATATCATTTTTGATAAATCTTGTCGATATAATTTGAATAGAATTGATTGTATGTACATAGATTTATTCAAGTACTGTTTTAGATCATTATAAAAATTTTCTGAATAATTTGTTAAATTTAAATTCTCTATACAAATTTCATATATAGTAAATGATATCAGTCTAACTATATATATTTTTTTTTGGTATTATATTGAAATATTTTCAATTATTGTGGAACAGGAATTGAATTTTTCATATTACATTCAGCCATGTGCAACGTACATATAATCCAATTTATACAAAAAAAAATATTATTGAATTTGGTTTGAATGATTATTTTATTCGGCCCGTGATAATCTTTCGATAAAACGTTATTGAATCTAGATTGTTATAGCCTTAAATTTATTTTCGGTAAAGATGATTTTTGATGGTTAAATAAGTACTCAAATCCTTTAGGAATAATTCGTACAATTTCCCATTTCTAATTATTTCCATTAATGCTTACAATTTTCCATTTCTAAAAAGTTAAAAATAATTTTAATATTTTGTTTTTTTAAACATTTTTAAAAAATATTTTCAAAAATATCAAATATCATTTTCAATATTTTATTTTAGCGTAATTGGCAAGTAGTCAGCAAAGTAGTGAATGATTTGTCAATTCAAAATTTATTTCAGTTGAAATTGTATAATGTCTGACAATCTCGAATTTCTTCCGCACAACTTTCCAATTTTTAAACGCGGCCCATAATTTTGGACAGGTTTTACATGGCTGATGCACATACATACGATAATTTCCTTTAAGAAATTTTCTATCCTTTAAGAAATTTTCTAATCTTTAAAATATTTTCTATCAATACAAATATTATTTTCATACTTTATCATGCAAAATATATTTTACGATTATATTTAACTGTGTGTATTAAAATGTAGAATAATATGTCATTTTAATAAAATTATAAATTTAAATTGTATTGTAATTATTGATGAATAATTATATACATATACATTATATAAACAAAAACTTGTAAAACTATATTTTAATATTTAGTAAAATTTACTTTAGATTAGAAATATAGTATTATATTAAAATAATAAAATATATTGATCAATTTCATTTTAGAAAACACACTATTCATTTTTTTATATGTATACATATAAATACAATTTAACGTTTATATATTGATTATAATGAAAATATAGAGTATTGTAACAATAATAATGATAATAATGAGCTTATAGTATTTAAGTTAATTTATTATTCAAATAAATTGAATTCATTATATTAAAGTTCTTCAATATATATTTATATTGTATGTTGAAGCCACATACGAATATATACATGTGTTTTATAACAAATATTGTAAACTAAATTTATATATTATAATATTGTTATAAAATATAGGAAAGGATACTAAATAGTGTTAATCAGCTTAATATATTAATGTAATATAAATAGAATATGGAATAAATTTAGATATCATTGTATATATTAATATTACTTAAATCTAATTATAATTGCATATTTAAACTGAAGATTTCTATTTATGTTTTAGTGAGTTCATGAAAAACGGAGGAAAATAAGGATTAAACTTATTTAAATTTGATTTATATTAAGTGGAATTTGCAGAAATGACAATTGTTTATTAAGTATATGTTTGCTCAAATATGATTATATTGCCTAATAGGTCCAATAGTTTCTTACTGGCATGGAAATTCATTCTAAAAAGTAAATTTATGAGTGAGATAGTGGAAGACATTTAAATGAATATCAGAACTATCTGAATATAAATTCAGATAGTTCAAATATTATAGGAAATTCTCAGTTAAAACTTATATACATAATATATGTACATTTACCACTTTCTGGCAACAAAAATTCGAAAAAAAGTACTTTACGATTTAAATTTCTTATTTTTGCAGCAATATTGCCAAATCTAAATTGATTAAACCTTGGTTGTTCTCATGAAAGTTCTTAGTTCTCAACTTGACATGTTCTTGTCTCTGGATCGAATAAGTTCTAGAATGATTTATTAAAATAATTTGTATAATTCAAATAAGTTTTTATTTAGACACTTAAAATTTTAAGTTACAAATTAAAACTTGCTTAAATTTTCCCTTTTTTTTTGTTGTGTTTCATTAAAATTATGTAAATTAATTGATTGAAATAATAACACATTCCATATAATACGTATATGTGGGTTAATATGATTTAAGTAATTTGAATGTACGTTAATATAAATTAGTAAGAAATATCCCGTGATTATAAATTTCCAAAAATATTGGATCTGCAAATACAAATATAGCCTACCTAAATACGATATCCTCATTCAAATATGAATTATAATCATTTATGTGGTATGCAAAAATGCAATAATAGTGGAATTTAAAATATTTCTAAAGGCTATGTAGATTAAGATACTCGTATATAATTTTAATATTTTGTAATTGATTTTATATTTAATAATGTAATTTTTATAAGAATTTATTATTACGGTTGAAGGGTTTTTAAAGGAGTTTAATTAAAATTCTATTAGTTTTTTAGAAAACACATTTAAAAAATGAATACGATATGAAATTATGACTGTCCGGAATGTAATTTTTTTGTTAAATAATTAGAAAATTACTTCCGACAAAAACATCTATATGAAACAGAATTTATTTGAAAAATCACTCTAATTTAAAAATAGGTCTGTCTGGAACGCCATCAATTCATTTAAAAATTTATGAATTTAATACGTATAACATTATATAGAAATTTTTCCTGCGTCCAAAATATTGATATTGAATTGAAAACAAAATATTTGTATTATTCTGTACACTATTAAAAAAAAAGATAAATTTTTTTTTGATTATACTTAGCTTACAAATTTTATGTACATTAATAATATAAAAAAAAATTTTGCGTGGGACATACATATAACAGTTACAGTATACATTGCATCATTACACACACGCATATGTACGATATTACAATATATTTATAGAAAATTTTACATTATATAACATAATACAGAAAAAAAATTACCTTAATCCTTTTGTTTCACAAAGATGTAATTCACCAAACATACCACAGCCCAATTTTTCAACAATAACTAAAGATTGCCTCGGGAACTCTTGCAATTGAATTAAGTTATCTTCATCATTTGATGATGCAATATCAGCATCGCTATATGAATTATTAATATGATTTGATGATGATAATGCTACTGATGATAATGCTATATTTGATTGTATTGAATTTGTTGTTCCTTGTTGTATTGTTGTATTATTTATATTAATATTATTATTATTATTATTATTACTATTACTGTTATTATTATTAATATTATTTTGTTGATGTAAATTTGTTGTTGTTCCTATTGATGATGATGATACGCCTGATGTTGCTGTTGTTGTCGGTTGTAATGGCAATGTTGATGGTGCTGGTGCTTTACATATTGCTGTTGCTGCATAATATTTTTCTGATGGTGGTGGTGGTACTGGCGGTGGTTTTGGAAATACACTACTTAATGGTGATGGTGTCATACGTACACTTACATATCCGCCAGGAATTTTTGGTATTAAATCTTGCATATGTGGTACAGCATACTCTTGACAAACAATATCAGGAACATCTGTTATTTATGGTTACGCGCATATTATAGTTATATGTGTATATATATATATATATATTATGTGAGATGAATGTAACAAAATAATGAATGAAATTAAAATAAGCGTAAAATAATTATACATATATATACATATATATATATCTATATGTGTATTGGCATATAAAGTATTAATTTAAATTTATTATGGCATTGATATTATTATCTATCCATATAATATATAGATAATATTATTATTAATTTATGAGAGAATATTTTCAGGATTGAATCCGATAAGTTTAATACAATATTTTCAAAATGAATATTGATTAATTTTACAAGTAATTAAGGATGATATTAATATATGTAAATATATTTAATTGTATTAATGCTATACTTTGTTCTTAACCATCGTACTTATATACTTTTATAACTATAATTTGAGCTGACTGAATATCGTATTAAAAATGACATTTCATATAATTGATAATAATTTTCATGTATAGGACAGTATATTTTTGTTATTTTAAAATATTTATTCGTAATGATTAAAGTTTTTAAATATGTAAAAGAGAGGATATTATTGTCCTTTTTTTAATTTAAATTATTATGCAATAAAATACAATTGGTGAGAGTATTTTATTTTTAATTATAAATTTTGTCTTTTATAAAATTTTATTATAATTAAAAATTAATTTCTTTTTTACGATCTCAGGTTTTACAAAGAAGTTGATGCAGGCTTTAATTGTGATATGTGAACTAATTTTTAGTTTTTTATATAATTATAAAATTCTTTTCAATATTTTCGTTATTTGCGTATTAACAGACTTTTGTTGTGGAAGAAAGAATTCTGTTTTACATATGATTCTGTTGCGTTTTTAAAATACATTGACAAAAGTTGAATGTGTTCAAAAAATTTTCTGTAAAGATTTAGAATTTGTCATTATAACAACTTTTTTAAAAGTACGTAGCAGGAAACCAGCGAAAGTGGTATATACATAATTAAAATAGTACGCATAGTAGCACAGCTATATTTTATTTGTATGTTATACAAAGAAATTTTTTTAAAAGAAATTACATTTAAAAAAAATACAAAAAGGTTCTTTTAAAAACGCGTTTTCTTTGTAAAAGCTAGAAATTTCAAAGTGTTTTATAATAGTTGACAATTTCAAAGAAATTTTTAAGTCAGTAATATCTATGTATACTTGAATAGGTCCTTGAAAATCAACTCTTTTGTTTTTTGAAAAAGATATTTAAATTACAAATGTAAAATCTAGGAAAATAAAAAAAGTGAAACAGACGAATTGTTGCATTGAATTTGATAAATGTCGGCTTTTTTATGATGATGATTAAAATATATTTAAAGTATATACATATATATTTATATATAATTATTATGTTACGTTCCGATTTTAATTCAAATTCATTATTTGTCTTCATACTTAAATTTATAATCAATCATATACGTAATAAAAATTTACCAGTATAATCTGGTGTCACATGATGACGTTGTAAATCATTTAAAGAGCATCCACTTGCTGCACTTGTATACATATTAACGTTAAATGGTTCATGATATAAACTGCTTTTATCAATTGATTCATTATCATCCATAGTTACCTAATCCATTTGCATACATAAAAAAAAAAAAAATTTTTATTAATAATTTTATACTTGTTACAAAAATTTTATTAATTAATTTACATCTTTTTTAAACACCAGATTCTTTTCATTGTATGCTAATTTTACCTTCATGTTACTATTAATTCGCTTATCCACTCCGAGTCCGTCCGAATTAAAATTATGTTGAAATGCATCTAAAACATTACTACCACGTGCACGACGATTTTTTGCTATTATAAATAATATAATAGCTACTAATAATAAAATAATTGTTGTTAAAGCAGCTATTATAACACCAACAAAACTACTTTCTGGTTCTTGATCAATCGGTTTTGGTGATATAACTGTAAAATATTTGTATATTAAGTATAGAGTAATGATTTTGAAAACTTAAAAAAAAGTGTTTTTTTTTTGTGAATTATCAAAAACTTTTAATTGATTTTTTTTCCATTTAACAAATATTTTATTTGAACATTTGTTAATAAAATGTAGCAATACCTAACTTAATTATGTATTACCTAATAAAATTAATGAAATTTCATGTGTTCATTATAAAGAGATATCGCTGTAATTTTGGCAATTAAATGAAAAATCAAGTATTGCGTGAATTAAAAAAGGAAATTTCTACACCGAGTGTTTATAAAGACGCACATTATATGATATTTACATATATATATAATGTCAAACATACATAATTTATATACATACATACATATATATAAATTATTGCTATACTTACTTTGTGGAATGTGACTTCGTTCACCTTTTGTTGGATTTGTTTGAACTTCATCTCTTTGTAATGGATATTCAGGTGTTTCATGTGGCAATGAATTCCCACTAATCTCTTCATCAGTGAAATTTCCAGAAACAGGTACTATTATAAATATAAATAAAATAATCATTATAACTTCGTATATAAGTAACGTAACTTGCATATATTTAATACTTTTAATTGTAACTGTTTATTTATATATAGACGTCTACATATTATATACTTACCAGAAATAAATGAAATTTCACTAAGCATTATCCAACGCAATGCAAAATATAAATGAATTTGTAAATAACGACCTATACGATGATGTAATTTAATTGTAACATCTCTAGCATGATCTAATATTGTATCTGGCATATAAGAGAATTGAACTGGTTCACCAATAAAATGTTTACCGCCAATACTAAAGAAAACTTTTGCATGAACAAAAACCTGTTAAATATCAAAAAAATAATTAAATATTATATGAAATTATTTATAAATATTTTTATGCAGAATGTACATAAATATGTTAATGATATATTCAGAAATTGATATTTTTAGAAAGCTTATACTGTAAAGGCTTGTTGTGGAGCTGACTTAATGCATTTTACAGTTATAAGGTAGACACGATATTGCATGCAATTCTAAAATTAATTTTATAGTTGACAAAACAAGAGAAAAAAGAATAAAACTTGGTATAGTAAAAAAAATGTACGGTTTCCATTTTTTTAGCACAAGTATAAAAGAAATTGTGTCAAAAATCATCACGGAGATATTCAATTCACTAAAAACATAAGAATTATATAACGTATGCATTAGATTTGTAGATCTGTAGACTTGTACAACCAGGTACAGCGCGAGCTTGTTCAATGATCTGTGTCCCGCCTCCATGCCAAATATGATCTTATACGTTATAATGTGCTCTTTACAAAATATGAAAACGTATAAACAGGAAAAATGGACATATTGTGGATAAGATTTCTTTATTGTTGTCAAATGGTGTTGCAACACAGTTTTTTTTATTCATTTTAAATTTCGTATATTGCGTTTTGTTTTAATCCGAATAGATTCTTAAATTTTGGTTGTAATGTTTTGTTATATGAACATATGACTTTTACCAACATATCACTTATTACATACATATTTAATTCGTCTTTAACATTCATACTTGTTTGATTGCTTGTATCTTAACTAATATATCGTATATTAAACTAATTTTATTTGAAGTTCCATCTGAATAGACTTGAGAAAAAAAGAAATCTAGAAAAATTCAATATCATAATATATGCTTTCATTATTGATATTGCAAATAAGTGTATCTTAACAAAAATTTTCTTGAGTCTATTCAAATCACGAACGCATATCATACGCATATTTCAATTGTATGTATATACAAATTTCTCAGTAAATTCTTATTGGCATATTATATTTGTATAGTTGTTTTTGTCATTGTTTATTTATATATAGACTATATTGGATTTCAAATGAAATCGATACTCTCACTTTATTTTTTGGAAAGTCTATTTTACTATTTACATAGTTTGAGAATAAAATTTCAAATAGAAAATAATTATGTACGAATTTATGTGTGTAGAGAAGAAAGTTATACCTACTAGCATACTAAGTAAGCAATATTAATTGAATAAAATTTATGCTTGTGTGTGCATTATAACATTTAAACTAAGAGAATCAGTGATTTTCGTAAACAAAATTCATTATGTGTAAATATACAGTGAACCTGTTTTATAATAACGTTTAATATGTACATAAGTAACCAGCAGTACAAAATTATATGCAAAAAAAAGTTTGCTGCTTTTTCTTTATTTCGGATCGTTAAAAACAATTTCATCTACATAATATTCGCCAATTTTTTCTACGTTGGTTTCAGGATATTAGACATCAAGCAGTTGACTAAAATTCGTGGAATGTGTGTAAACAAAAGGGTAATCCTGCTTCCTCAAATTTAACCACCTAATTTCATTTAATTTACGAATCCGGCTTTCAAAAATACTTTATTTAACCGTTTATAATGTTTAAATGGAATGAATACAACAAATAATTTAACCGAGCTACGTATGTATACATAAAATTTTCTCTTAAATTGAATTTCGCAGCCAACCATCGACTACATTAGCTGTTTATTATTAAAGATAAATGTATACTGTATATCTAAGGAAATCCAGAACTAATTGTGAATTTTTAATTTTTTTTATATGTACTGCTTACGAGTGTACAAATGCGTGAAAAAAGAAACCAAAATGAGGATATGAAATGAAATACAGGGTTTGCATGAATAAAAAGGGCGGATTAAGTCTAATGATGATTAAAATACTAATTTTGGTTTCGGACTATTGATATGCTAACATTATTGTTTGTTTATGTGAATTTGCATTATTCTTCTCGCATATATTATCTATACACACATACATACATTATTTTTACATTATTATCCCTATATTGATTTATGGATGGATTTTTGAATTTAGTTGCATTTTCGTTTTTTCAATTTTGTTTCATTTATCCTGTCCACTTTCAAATTATCCACATGCAAAACCATATAAAACCATAAGCACATGTGTATAACAAAATAGTATAGTAAAAAGGGTATTTATAAAAAAAACTGAAAGAATGATTACAGCAGCTATACCGTTGTTTAAAAACAATAGAAACTTCACATTAATTCATTTTGAGTACATACATACATTAATACAAATACAAAATTGGTCAATAAATTACATTTTTTAAAAAAAGGTTACCATTGCACTTTTGATTATAGTAGATCGCACATTTTAAACAAAATAAATTTGTAAGTTTTGGCTTCTATTTAATTTTTTACCATAATAGTGTATGTCAGTTTTTCGAACGAGAAAAAAAAAAGCATTAACGTAAGTAAAAAATGAATACGCGTCTAAATCTCGTCACACTATAATTGACAATATTTTATTTTATTAATTATATTTTGAGAACAAATTATTGAAAATAATTTGGACTATCAACAAATTGAAATTGATGTTTCCATTTAATTGTATATTTTATTTTAAGTTAGTAGTATGTGGCAATCCTTTTTTTTATAAAATTTGCAATATCCTATATGGGATAAATTCACAATATTGAAATTTGATGACAGCTTATCATTGATTCATTTCTAAATTTTAAAAATAAAATGTGTATTTGAATTTTTAATCCAAAGAATGATATTATAAAAAAGTAAAATCAGTGATAGTAGTTTATAAAAAAGTAAAATTTTTCTTGTTATACTTATGTAATATAACACATTTTTTAATAAAAATTACAAATAAATCATATTCATATTCGAATCACATTGAAATACATGAAGGCTCTTATACGTTGTATGTAGAGCAATTTGGATATTATGTCAGCTATGGGAGCACTAATTTTTTATAGTTCGAATCAAAATGATGAAAGAATTGAGAAAATCTTCTAAAGCCACGGCAAGCAAATTTTGTTGTAGGGCCCTCAGTATGCTTTTTGAGTGAAACTAAAACTGTTGTTACTCAAAATAAATTTCGAATGAATTGTCAAGCTAATAGAAACGTAAACAAATATGTGGACATAACTTGATCTATTAGTTCATTCTTATTGAAAATTTTATGGATATGAAAATGGAAAAAATATCAAATAAAATTTAATGTATTCAGTCTTTCATGTTATCAATATTTCATTTATAAAATGTAGATATAATAATAATTCCCATCATTCTATATAAAAGACAAATTGAACATTAACATTGAAAAACACTTTTAAAATTTTACCTTGCTTTTTTTGTTATTTTAGTTATTTTTTATACCTTTTTCTCGTGTCTAATTAAAAATTTAAAAATAAAAAAAAAACCCAAACTATTATATTGGTTAAGTAGGTTAACATGTAAAAATTCATAAAATATATACGAATATCCTTTACAATTATATATAAAAGTTAAGTACATTTGTCTGTATTTGCATAATGTATAAGCAAAACTATACTATTATAAACGCATATTGAAACCGAAATATTGTTATTATATTGAGAGCATCCTTAAAATTTTGGTATTAATTAAAGTTAAATAAGCTGAAAATTATTATGCTATTTATACTAATGGCATATGAAAACCCTATATACAATATAGTAATATTTATATATAAGATATATAAAATTAATTGACATTAATTAAAAAAACCAAACCTACAAAAAAAAAAAAAAACGAGTTTATTTCTGGACCTGCATAATAAAAATTTAAATTCCATCGTTATCTTCCATTCCATTTATTCAAATTCATTTTAGTGGTAGTGTTAATGCATTTCTTGTTTCTCTTTTTTTTCATTTTTATCAAGAATAAATATTAAATTATTCACTTATTTAAATTAAATAATGTAACTATGTGCATCATATTGAGAAATGCATTAAACACTTCTTCTTATTCTGTTTCCTTATTAACAACTATATAGTTTATTGCTACCGTTCGGGGTAATTTTAATAAATTTTTGCATAATGTTATCTATTATTTTGTAATAAAATTATTTATGAATTAATAACATTCGAAGTTCATTTAATTGATCTGTTTAAAACTTAATTCCATTTTTAATATAATAACCTTAATCAACTTCTACATTTATAAAACTCTTTAATACGGTCGAATGAATTTCTTTTTAATGGTGAACTAAGAAAGATTGAAGAAGCCGAGAAATAAATTATCGCTAAAAACGGAATATTATAATCATTATGGTAAAATAGTCCTTGATTCGAATGTCATTAGTTTTTTTTTTGAAGGGAGCTGAGAAGTAACAAATGCAGTTTATTAAAGACTGTGAAGCATTTATTTATGGAAGAAACTGTTTGAGTTAACCGTTGCGGTTTGATGCGAAAAGTTAAAAGTTCAGGTTACGGAAATGACCTAGGAAATTCCCTAGGAATTGAGAAGGGAGAAGAAGAAAAACGAAGGGTTCTTACCAAAACAACCTACCTATAATATGTATACTTTTAATAATAGTTTCATTTAATTTTATAATAGTCTATCTATAAGAAGCAATTACTTTCTGTGTAAATTAACGAACATCAATTATTATACTTTCATTTTAAATTAATAGTATAAACTTTATAATCAACTAAAAATCATGTAAACAGTTAATTTAAACCATAGGAGAAAAAAAAATATATTTGATGTTGTAAAATGATTTTACTATATACCAATTATGTTGTTCCGACTTGCCAACATAAAAATTGGACCGAATCAAAGGAGAAAAGAATTTTTAAAAATATATTTTGTATGTAATTGTAGACGTTTTTGTAAATGTTCCCGATAATTACATTAGTTCAAGTCATTTTATTCCATTATTCAATATCAAGCTGTTCCAAATATATCTTTAATATATAGCATATATAAATACATAAATGTATATATACAATAATAAAGTTTTTACATAAAATAATAAATTAGCTATAAAAAAATTTTAATCTTTACCTGTACATCCTTTGAAAACATGTTATTTGTATGTAAAATAATTGCACTGAAATTTCTTACTGTATCAAATTCGAATGTTATTTCAACTGGTTTACCAGCTAAACTAGGCGTATCATTTCTCCATCCAACCCATTCGTAACCTTAAAAAGGAAAATATAAAAAAACATGGTTAAAATGTTAAAATATTAAGCAAAAATTATTGTTCTTTTTGTTTTTTATTTTCTTGTATTCTTTAAATAAAAATAAAACAAAAGACCAACAAGTTATAATAATCATAAAGTTTATTATTAGTTTTGTAATTAAGGGAAAGTTTTTTAAATATACATTTTGTTTTTAACTTTGACCATCGTCGTAGGCACAATAATAACGAAAGTAAAAAAGGGAATGAGAATTGTACGTGACGGTAACTTTAATAATTTTTAATAAACTTTTATTCGTTTTTGTTTTTATTTAGTAATGTTGATTTTTTTATGCGTATATATTTTAGAATTACAGTAGAATTAGTTTATTGTAGAATTCAAAATTTCAAAGGGATTCAAACCCCCTAGAAAGCTCGGTCTATACACATTCGGTTTACGGTTGAACTATATCTGATGGAACGATTATGAGCATTATTTGGGTTAATTTAAGATCCCGATTTTGATGGACATTTTGAATTTTATTATCGTTTTAATATTTTGTAAGTTATTTATAATATATAAATTTTGGAAAAATTATAAAAAATTTACAGCTAAATTAAAGGATATAGTACGATTCTGAACTTTATTGATAATCACATAGATCTAGACGTTTCTTTTACATAAATTGAATTTTATTGTAAAATTTTAACAAATTTATAATTAATTTTACCAATATTTTACTGTAATAAATGTATTATAAACATATGCATATTATAATTATGCTCAAATAAATTAACATTATGTTTAAGGTCGTCAAAATGTCGGCATTAATATTTTTTGTTTTTATAAAATTTAAATTTACTTTGTTAAAAATTAAAAACCTTTAAATTCAAAGCAATGGCAAAAAAATTGCATTGGGTTCCTATATTTTTACAAGCTTATGATATTTTTAAGTATGTAAGTATATGTACTTTACATATATATATATATATATATAATTTATAAAAGGAATAAAATCTTCGAGATTTACATAGATCACATAGAATTCAATATTGAAATTAAGATAGTATTATTTTTTTCTATATGTAAGTTCATTAAATTGCAAAATAATAATTATTTTATTAATGGTTAATAAATTAATTCGCTAAAGTTATGGTAAATATAAAACAGGAATATATTAAGCAAATTTTAATACGTAAGGGTAACGCGTATTAAATTTTGTTAGTGGGTTTTTAAATTTAAATATTTCGGTCTAAAGGTATAATATGAAATTACGTATATTGAACTATTGATTTTTTTTTATTTTATTATAGATAATCAATTTGCTACAGTTGTATATATATATATATGTAGGATGAGATATGTATAAAGGTATAATATGAGAAATAATTTATGAAAAATTAGTGTAAAGCAAGGGTTTTTTAGATTAATTTTTAGATATGTAAAATAATAAAATGTGTACAAAACTTTATATGAAAATTAGAATTTTGTTTGAATTTTTTAGAAACTTTAATAATTTAGTTGAAGAAAAATATTAAATTCAAGTTGAGTTCAGCTATTTTTAATAAGAAATTAATTATTAATTTAGTAGTTTGTACTGAGAAACCTTTTTCTCCATCAATATTCTAAATATTTTCTTTACTTTGAAATAAAAAAATTATATTAAATTTCAAAAATAACCGAAATATATAAAATTAATGTAAAAATATTACAAAAATAATACAAAGGTAGTTTTTTTTTTTTTGCTAAATTCATTATTAAAAATCACATATTTAAAGATCTTCAGGCCTTTTAAGTTAATCATGAATTATTACTGCAATATTCTGCATCTAAAAAAAAAAATTTAAAATAAATAAATGAGTTTGAGTGCTTTATGTGTGAATTTAAAATATGAAAATTTTCACAATTTTATTCATTGTTTTAGAAGAAGTTTTAATTATTGTATAACAATAATAAAAAAAATATATATTATTTCAATTAACTGCAATAAAATAATTATTATGATTGCAATGTAACGTTTTCATAAATGATTTTCATATTCGACAGTAATGAATATTTAATTAAGTCAAGAATATTTTCAAACATAATTGAAATTTTTACTATTTTATTAATTAATTGAAATTTTTTACTACTTTTATTATTTTGGAATTATATCATACTCTATGTAATTACCTTACTCTATAATATAAAATTGGCAAAGTAAATAAAAAAAAATTTATTATTTAATATTTTATTTCAATAAAAGTTTAATTATTATACTATCATATTACAGGTATCGTGGCACAGTAACTTACCGATGACATGAATGCAGTATTTAACGGATAATTAAAAACGAATTGCAGTATTTGATATTTTAATTGTTAATAATAATTACGTTAAATTTTTTATAGTAAATTTGAATAAATTAGGAGCATTATAGCATTTCAAACTGAACTCCTTCGTATTGAAGAGCTATATGTATAAAAATTAGTATTAGTGTAGCACTATGCTTATGACAGAACTAAAATTTAATTAATCATAAGCAATTTCAAATTATATAGACAAAATATCGGAGTACTGCTGTTAATTATACTCGTAAGGGCAAATAATTATCTATATGTATGTATGAAAAAAAAAAAACATATATGATACTCAAACATAATTGAACATAATTGAAAAGTCAATTATAATTTATTTTAGAGCGAGTTCAAAATTAAGTAGATAGTTTTTATTTTAAAAGAATTTAATTATTAAAATATAATGTATGTAAGTATATGAAATTGTACCTTAAGTACATTAATGGAATTTTGAATGAAACCTGTTTTCCAGTTACACTTTTAAATTTTTTTTTTGAATTGATTTTTATTAATTAATTAAGTAAATAATAATTCTGATAAGATTTTAGTTTAATTTCAATTAAGCGTTCGCATATTTAATTTACTAAAAGGTAAAACTTCACTTGTTATATTGTGCCAGTTAATGCTAGCAAATAATAATAAAGTTCAAATTCGAATTGCCGCATAATGTATGTTATAGAAGAAAAATTTTATTAAAAAATTGGTTTTAATAAAAGAAAAATCATACTTCTTAAGAATTCAATGAAAACAAATTGGACTCTATATGGGACAGCAAAAAAATTTTATCAAAGTTAACTTGAAGTTGTACGTTATATTATTCAATTTCTAATCTATTCTAAAAAACTTACTTAAAGAATGCTCAAAAACAACGTTAGGTAAAAATTACTATAACAAAAATATCTAAAATAAGTCTATCTTTTTTTTCTTTCTTTGAAAGAGAAAACAATTGAGAATAAAAAATAAACATGCTTGTGTAGATTTTTGATTTCGCCTTGTAATTTTTACTTTTTGCCACCATTAGGACAAAACTTATGAATCTAATGAAATTTGTAAATAAATTATAAATGTGTGAAGGTTTTTTTGGGGCTATTTTATTTATTTATCTTTTTTTTTTACCAAATTTTCAATTTTTCAACATTATATTTTGTTTATTTTATTAAATTTTGTGGTATAGTTTTTCAATTTCAATTGATGATGCCGAAAATTTTTTAATTAAGAGATTTTCTTTTTGTTTGTATTTTATTATTTTTTATTTGTGATAAAATGCATTTTCGGTTTATGAATAATTAAAATCATTTTAATTGTGGTAAATAATCCTTTGAACTGATTACTCATATTATATATTTTTGCCAACACATAAAGTAGAGGTTTATTTTTTAATTTCAAATTTTTTGTTTTTTTAATATATCAATATATTATGCAATTTATAAAGTGTTACAAAACGATAAATCTTCATGCTAATTTATATTATTAGTTGATCATTTGTTATTCATGCATATATGAATATTTTCTATAGCCTTACATGTTTGTATATGTTCAATATTTAATAATTTAAATATAAAAATATAGATGAAAAAGAAATTTGTATTGTAGAAAATATTGCACGAGCATTGAATTTGCATACAAAAACAGTATTTTTTTCAAAAACTTGACAACAGACATAGATATATGTACATATACCAGAAATTCTTATTTCCTGGTTCCAGACAGGGTTAATGAACTATAGAAATAAACAATTGCAAAAAAAAGCTTGACGAAAACAAAACGAATTTGTATTATGTAATTTTTGATAATTCGAAATGTGCTGTCTGACTACATAAAACACACAGGAGCTTATTAAGCGAATTTTATAATTTCTTTGACATTTCATGGGTAAAAAATCGGACACAAGAATTGAATTAGGTTAAATATAAATTAAAGCTTAATATCAACTGTATATTTAATTATAAGTGTACAAATAAATAGGTAGGTACCTACTTACGCAATTATTAAAATGAATATGCTAATAGGTATTGAAAACAATGAAAAAAAAAATACAAAACAAAAGTTACCTTTACCAAAGCCATGAATATCGGTACGAAAATTATCTTTTCCTTTTTGACCATCAACTAATTGACCCAAACCATCAACATATCTATCATTCTCCTCTTGTCCATCATATGTTTTATCTGATAAGTCAATTTCCATACCACGTTGAACACCTTTTGGTATGCTATAGGAAACGATTCCTTCTGAAAAAACATAAAAAAATTTTCAATCAAAACGATAAGCAAAGTTTTATGAAAATCTACAAAAAAAAATTGTTTTGAAAATATAAAACAGCACTAAGTTTCAATCCAGGAACCGTTTTTAAATCGCAATATAGAACAAAATATAGCCTCAAGCTAAAACATAGCCATCAAGATTGAAAAATAATAATTTCTATAAACTCTTAGACTTGTAGCTTCAACATTCATATGAGGACATTACCCATTAAAAATTCTTATACTTTGTATTTTAAAATTTCCAAATCAAAAATTGCTTTTTTTAGCATTCCATAATGATGGTTCATTCAGCTTTAAAATTGAAATTTTTCATTTGCTTAAAAATCTTCCATCAATTTCAGTTTGAGAACGGTCATATGCATTTTTATTTATTGCTGTTTGTAAATTAGGAAATCACCTAAACTCCTGCAAAGACAATCAGGCACAAACTTAGGGAAATTCCTATATAGAAAATTCAAAGTAACCCATTTTTCGATAAGTTACATAAGGTACAATACTCTTCACTTATAGTTTTAAGAAAAATCGAATATCCGTTAAATGTCTTGCGCTTATAAGAACCGCCATATTGAAATTTAAAATAATTATAACATACATACATACATAATTCGGTTTTACTTTGTCTTGAAAACTTTTTTTCAAATTTTCTCTCCACACATTTTACAAGGTTATATTCACAAATTACGACCAGTTCTTATTCAAAACAATTACTTCTTCATTTTCTCCATTTATTTTGACAATCTTCTAATACCAAAAAAAAAAAATTTGCAAATTATACCAAATTTTAATTCCATAAATTTCTAACGATTTATACTTTTGACTTTAATAATGTCAAATCATGATTAATATGACACAAGAAAAAAAGAAAAAAAAAAACTAAACCAAATCGAAACAAAAAAACAGTGTGCGAACATTCCAATAAATTTGATCATCATTTTAATATGTATGCATTGCATTTTCATAGCTACAAAAATGAGCGAACATGATATTGGAAATCTGGTTATTAAAGAGATAGCTTCAAAAAAAACAAAAATATTAATAACGCAAAAAAACCGAATAGTTAACAAAAATTTGCAATAAAAAAATTTTTAATTCGCTTTATTTGTAAAGAAAATTTATGTGGAACTTGCCATTAGTAATGACCTTTTGATAGTAAATTATGATTATGTATATATATATATACATCTTTTTTAAGCATTAGTTCAGGTTTCATTCCTGTTTTAGAAAAAAAAGTTGTCTTTTAACAGTTTCTACTTTGTATTATAAAATATTCTGCAAGGATATAGGCTTACACTTAATATATACATGTTATGTAGTTACTTTGCAGTATACACAAATTACCACAAACTACATACACATGCATTATATGCACAAATAACATCTCGTTTACAGAAGAGGATTGAAGTTTGGGTATCTTCACAAAATGCCTGGAATAATTTGACTCTACAAATTTAAATATGAAAATTATGCTTTATCTTCTTTTAAGTAAGCTAAGTAATTTTATGATTAAAGAATTTGCTTTATTTTTTACATATTTTTTTGTTGATTAGAAATGTCAAAATTCTACGATCACATATGGGTTTTGATTTTAAAATCAATTAATTAATTTAGCCAAAGCTGTCAAAAGTTATGCTTAATTAGCTCGAATAAATTGGTGTTTTTATAATAATTGATTTTTGAATGTTATAACTTGTGCCAAATACAGACCTATTAACACATATATGGTTTAACACGTTATACGAGCTTGGAGAGCCCAATTTTAATTATTGAATTAAATGAGCATTATTTAAATTTAATATTTATAATAGCTGTGAGTGAGTGCTACTCTTTAAAATAATCAAATCATTAGGATGCATCAACTGCAAATTGTTTTGTACGTTTGCGTTGTGCATGTGATTATATGAAATTTTAGTAAACATTTAGGTTTTTAAAAGATTTTTGAGATTTTTAATATTTGATGGTAATTTCTCTCTGATATCGTTACATTATGTGCTTCTAAAGTTATATTATATGCAGCACGTACAACTTTATATGCATAATACAACTTTATATGCATAGTATAAAGTTGTATTATATATTAATATCTATAGGGTATCTATGAAGTATTGTCTATTTGTACAGTCTATATAATATAACTTTGTAAATACATAAGGCTAAAGTGGTCATTCACAATATGCAAGTTATTAAAAAAAAATTTAAATAAGAGCAACAATTATGTGAAAGATACCCGCTGTGAAATTAAAAGATTTATCGCTTACACAAATTTTTATGTTTTATGATCGTATTTGATTTTATTTTTATTCTTTTTGATTTTCTGTGTCTGAAAACTTGACGCTAAACAAGTGACGCACATTATATAAAATAAAAAATAGAAAAGTTTTTTTTGTTATCTGTTTTTTCCATTTGCGTGTATTTTATATAATTTTTATAGCATATTGTGACCATCGCTTACTTTTTTACTTTGAATGAATTGCGAAAAAAACAAGTCTGCGATAGAGCCTAAAGGTTTTCATACAACAAATAGAAAGATTCTTGTATGTGTACTTTGTTTTTCTTTTTTTAATGGTTGTAAATGACAAGAAGTTTTGTTTAATCTTTTATTTAGGTTAATAAAATTACATTCAATTTAGAGGGAGAAGGTGAAAAAAAGGGATTTTTGTAATTTGCACGTAAAATATTTTGAAAAATTTTATTATAACTATAATTTTATTGTCGGAGCATATTGCTTTAATGCTTGAGTTCTACATTTTTATTATTGCATAATATTCATAAAAATATAAAATCTGTAATTGCTTTAACAAAAAATTTTTAATTTTTTTTATTTAAATAGCGTTAATTATAATTTTTTTTATTTCATTTTAAAGTTTTATGACAGTTGACTAGACATACAGGATAAAGGTTTCTTATAACAAAAAAATTTTTAAAGGATGGGAATTTTTAAAAATTGATTGTTAAAAGAGCCTAATAAAAATGTCAGCATAGTTATCAATGTATGAGTCTGATATATTTTAAGAAATTTTGCATTAATTTGTGTAGGTATTTCAGAAAATTTAAGAGAAAATGTACTGATCCACTATTGTGGAACCAAATCCACTATAGTATAAAAAGTTTAACATTTGTTTTTTTTTTATAGAAAATTCTAACTCGCATTTAACGTACATTTTAAATTAACTGACCTAAATGAGCTACGAGACTACTCAACATATTATAATTTTGGATTTTGACAACGCGTGGGTATATCGTTTTTCTGTTTTATTTTCTAAGGTCAAATTGATCTATTCATTCACATATATAAAATGCGAACTTAAAATTTAACAATATAAACTTATTTTGGAAAGTAATTTTGAATTTTAGAAAAGCAGAAAATTTTATCCCCACATAAAATTACATATAAATATAATAAATATTTGACAATAAGTGTTAGCGGTGTTGTCAATTCTGTACCCTTATTCGTATATGCGTACTACACATCTACTATGCACTATATACTACGTACGATTTTGATCGATCCCTAAAATTTAATAGCTGTCAAAAAAATTTACAATTTTTCATTTAAGAATAAGATGAGATCCGTTATAAGCTTAATGAATCACGAAAAATTGGGAAATAATTACATATTTTAGTTTTAAATTCAAATTGGTAATATTCTTAGCTAACTAGAAAATTTCGTTTTATTAATAATACAATTTATATTGTAATGAAATGATAATCAAATTTCTATGCAATGACGATGCAAAAACTATAAGCATCAAATATTTGGTTGGAATTTCACAATGTACATGTTATACATTTGCTCAAATACATAATACATACATATGTAAGTAAAATTTACTAAAGATTTCCTTAAATACTCAATTTTAATTATAGGTTTATTATCTTATTAGAAAAGTGTTTTAGTTGTGTAACCACGTTACATACATAGATACATACTACATTATGCATGATTGTACATGTATGAATTATTCGAGCATTTTAGGAGTACCCACTTATATTCATTGGTGTTACTAATTGGCAAGACAATGTACTAAATTAAAATTTTAAAATACTAAATAATAACTTTAAGGTTAAAAAAATATTTTAAAATTTTAATGTAACACTTTATTATTTAAGCAATATTTTTAATTACAATAATTGACATTTGATTCAATTTTTTATTGATGACCGAAGTCATTTAATTTTCTGTTTGAATATATTCATACATACATACATACATATACGTACACATTGATTAAGAGACCACCCTAGTTGCATGTATGTACATACAGTCTATAAAAGTGTTGTTTCCTTTTACTATAAATAAATCATTTAATCGAATACTTTGTGTTTAATATAAACATAAAATTTTGTATTATTTTTATTTAAAATGTTAAATTCCAAATGCAAGATTTCTCTAAAAGGAAAAAATAGATATTTTATGTGTTAAAATAAAAATTATTTGGAAGAAAATTTTTTTCTTTTTCTCAAAAAGTGTTTATAATTAATAAATTTTTAATGTGATCTTAACATTCACATGTACTTATTACATATTTTGGGATTTAAGATCCACTCACGCGAACTAAACGAAAAAAAAATACATATAGGGTTGCCCAATTTATTATAAAATCAATTTTTAAATGAATGAATGAAAACCCTTTCAAATTATAAATTGGTTTGAGTGATTCAGGTCGTGGGTATCTAATATTATTTCTCATTTAAGTTGTCAACCTAAATTAATTTAATTTAAATTGATTATATTAATTTAAAAAAATTATTTTTCCATGCCACAGTTTTTTAACATTTTGTTTTTAATCATTCAATTTTAGATACGACACCATTTCAATTATCATTATCCAAATTTCATTTTTATTATTTGAAAATTTGGTACTGGAGTTACAAAGACAGGAGAGATTTAAGTTCGAGAGATTGATGGCTTGAAACGAACAATATTTTATGTGCTAATGCAAAAAGAAGCATGCAAATAAACTTTTATT